TTAGATCTTCTTGTTGGATAGACCCTTTAAGTAGGATATAGTGTCCTTCCTCATCTCTTATTACAGTCTTTGGTTTAAAATCTAATTTGTGTGATATAAGGGTTGCCACTGCAGCTTCCTTTTGGTGTCCATTAGCATGGTAAATGGTTTTCCACCCCGTCACTTTCAATCTGGGGGTGTCTTTGGTTCTAAAATGAGTCTCTTGCACACAGCATATCAACGGGTCTTGTTTTTTTAATCCAATCTGATAGCCTGTGTCTTTTGATTGGGGCATTTAGCCCATTTACATTCAGGGTAACTATGGAAAGATAGGAATTTAGTGCTGTTGTATTGCCTGTAAGGTGTCTGTTACTGTATATTGTCTGTGTTCCTTCTGGTCAATGTTGCTTTTAGGCTCTCTCTTTGCTTAGAGGACCCCTTTCAATATTTTGGTTACAAGATTTTAACAATAGAACTAGTAGTGTCCAGTTTTCATGGTTCTCCTATATTTTTTGAAAAAGCTGAGCAAAATCTCTCAGCCCTCTTTGTAGCTACTTTGTAAGTCATGAAAAAAAATGATACTCAAAAATCATAATGAACCACCATTTTTTTTAAAGATTTTATTTATTTATTCGACAGAGAGAGACATAGTGAGAGCAGGAACACAAGCAGGGGGAGTAGGAGAGGGAGAAGCAGGCCTCCCGCGGAGCAGGGAGCCCTATATGGGACTCGATCCCAGGACCCTGGGATCATGACCTGAGCTGAAGGCAGACGCTTAATGACTGAGCCACCCAGATGCCCCACAAACCACCATTTTAATCAGACTATTTAAATGTTCCTTCAAATCAGTAATGAAAAAACATGAGTACTGTCAAATTACAATGAAAGAAATAATGAGAGCTAATATCAGGGCTAGTCCAGAAATATTTCCTTCAGACATAAAATGAAATCTGCACCCAGACAAGCCAAATTGAGCAAACAAAATAAACTTAAAAGAAACAGAAATTTTAGTAGTATGCAAATAACAAAACATTGAAAAAAATCTATTTCAAAAGTCATCATTTAGATAGTTACTGGATTTCTTTTTAACAAATAAGGAAAGCCAAAAGGAAGTGACATGATACATTGAATAACTTAAAATAATGACTATCCTGTAATATACTATCCCATGTAGCAGCCATGGGAATGTATCTCTCAGATCACTGACGGGGGCATAACTAACATCACCAGCTGCTGTGTTTTCAAATCCATCACCAAGGGTGCCCAAATGCCACACATCCCATGGGCTGCCCCCAGATAATCTGAGCAGATCATGTAAACTAAGACAAGTTAATGCCTGAGAGTAATAATTCCTGTGATGACTGATTTTTTTAAAGATTTTATTCATTTTTTTGAGAGAGAGTGAGCATGGGTGGGCTTGGCAGAGTGAGAGGGAGATAGAGAATCTCAAGAAGATTCCCCACTGAGTGTGGAGCCAGATACGGGGCTCAATCCTAGAACTCTGAGATCATGACCTGAGCCAGTCCAAGAGTTGGATGCTTAACTAACTGTGCCACCCAGGCGCCCCATGTGACGAGTGATTTTAAATAAAGGACTCCCCATCAACCTTGCCAGAAGTTTGGTAGAGCGTAATTACACTTCCTTTCATCTCTGCTTCACATGAGTCAGACTCGCTTTGTGGGCTGACTGTTCCTGACTCTTCTGGCTCCTTCCCATAAGAGATGTATTGTCGGGACACCTGGGTGGCTCAGTCGGTTAAGCGTCTGCCTTCAGCTCAGGTCATGATCCCAGGGTCCTGGGATTGAGTCCTGCATTGGGCTCCCTGCTGTGCGGGGAGCCTGCTCCTCCCTCTGCCTCTGTCTCTCTCTCTCTGTCTCTCATGAATAAATAAATAAAATCTTAAAAAAAAAAAGAGAGATGTATTGTCTAGGATGTAACTTTATTTTACCTGAAAGCTAATAAGTTAGATCTGACCCTTTCATGGATCCTGGCAGAAGATACAAGATTCTTCCATTTGCCCCCAAGTTCCATGGGGGAGATGCCATGTCTCAGGAGAGATTAATCCTGTTAAGTGGATTTGCATTATAATTGAGAGATAGTGACCTGAGGATCCCTGCTATATTATAGCATGCAAAAATTAAGACTGCTCTTTGTTCCATAGAGAGGGAGAGTCAAATACCACATATTTCAAGTCTGGTCACCCTGACACTGAGAAAAACCCATGTGAGTGTCCTTAGTGTCTTACATTCTTAGCCTATCAAGCAAGATGTGTAGGAGTAATAGAAATCTATGGAGAGTGTCTTCCAACAATAGATATCCTTCCTGTCTAATCTTTCCTGGCATTCAGATCAACACACCAAAATCCTACCCCTAAAAACAAAGCAAAGAAACAGAAAAACTTAGGTAACCCAGGGCAGCATGCTTTAAAGAAAATAACTGTTTTTCAGAGAGAATGAAATTTATCCAAGAAGGAAAGTTGGAGATCTACTACATAATGAAGATCAGTGAAAATATTCATGAGCTAGAAAATACAATTGGAGGGTGCCTGGATTGCTCAGTCAGTTATGCTTCTGACTTTGGCTCAGGTCATGATCAGAGGGTCCTGGGATGAATCCCACAACTGGCTCTCTCCTCAGTGGGGATTCTGCTTCTCCCTATACACCAGCCCCCCCACCCCCGCTCTAGCTCCTTCTCTCTCAATCTTTCTCCCTCAAATAAATAAATAAATAAAGTCTTTTAAAAAAAGAAAAGAAAATACAATTGGTCAAAAAAAGGTAAATATTCAAGTTTCTGCAATTATAAGTTTTAATATAACTATACATAAAAATAAAATCTGTTTAGTGCATCTGGCTGGGTCAGTCATAAGAGCATTTGACTCTTGATCTCAGGGTTGTGAGTAAGATCCCCACGTTGGGTGTAGAGATCATTTAAAATAAATAAATAAATAATAAACTTAAAAAATAAATCCTGTTTTATGTTTTCAGAAGCTTGATAGGCTTGTTTGAAAATTTATATATGAACTATGTGGAAAAGAGTCAATAATTTTAAGGTAAAGAAAGAACAAGTTTTTCTTTATATGTGAAGACTCATAAAATTACATTTAAAAACTTTGGTATTTCTTCAAGTAGAACAGAAGAAAGGACAAAAACTGTACAATGTATAGATGTGACACAAAGAAGGACAAATTAATGCAGAAATAAAGAAGACATGGTGCCCACTGAATACTTGTATCATTATGGTTAAAATAAAATGTACTGCCTACCTTACTTGATGCATGAAAAATTAATTCCAGGTAGATAATTGATGTTAATTTGAATTGAAAAATATATATATTTAAAGTTTTGAAAGACAATATAACAGAATATATTTATGACTTCAGATTAGGAAAATAATCCTTTCATGGAATGTAAAAATAAGTTTAAATATAAAATAAAAATTTTACTAAGTCCAACACACTAAATTAAGGACACCTGTTCTTTACAGATAACATTAAAACAATTTAAAGAGTAAGTCATGAAAAAAAATGATACTCAAAACTCATAACCAACCACCATTTTAATCAGACTATTTAAATGTTCCTTCAAATCAATAATGAAAAAACATGAATAGGCAACTTATAAAAGAGGAAACCCAACATTTAAAAGCATCATCAATATCATTAATCATCAGGCAAATGAAAATTAAAAACATAGTGAAATGTCTATGTAAACCCACAAGGGTTAAAATTAAAAAACTACCAAACACCAAGTGGTCCTGAAACTTTGCATCCTCAGGAACTATTATAAAAGATGACTTGAAGTGAAACTTGATGCAGCCATACTGCAAAACAAGTTGAAATTATTTAGTTTTATTATATGTATAACCCCTAAACAAGTCATTACACTACTAGAAATACCAATACTATACCTATTAGACCTGTTAGAATGGATGTTTTCAAAAAGATAAGAAATAGGCAATGCTGGGAAGAATATGGAGAAAAAAGAATGCTTGTGCACTTTTGGTGGAAATGTAAATTGGTGCAGCCACTATGGAAAACAGTATGGAGTTCAACAAAAATTAAAAAGAAAACTGTCAAGTGATCCAACAATTCCACTTCTGGGTATTATCCTAAGGAACCTAAAACACTAACTCAAAAAAGACTTATGCATCTCCATTTTCATTTCAATAGTTTTACCTTAGCCAAGACATGGAAACATGTATCTGTTACTTAAGTATATACTGATGGATGAATGGCTAAATAAAATGTGGTGTATATATATGCAATGGAATCATAGTCACCCATAAAAATAATATATTGTTATTTGTGACAACACGGATGGATCTTGAGGACATTATACTAAAAAAGTCAGAAGTCAGTCAAACAGAGAAAGACAAATACTGTATGATCTCGCTTATATGTGAAATCTGAAAAAGCATATGGCGAGACCAGTTCTTCTCATTTTATTGCAAAATTGCACAAGAAAATTTCAACTGATCTGTTTAATCAATGTATCTACCATCTATTTTTTCCTGTATATATCATCTATCATTTTTCTTTATAGCACATTTCTAGATACCCTAACTTTAAAACTTATGTCTATTGACAGCATTTCCACCTCTAATTAAATAGTCCATTTTTAAATTTTTTCAATAAAGATTATTTTAAAACTTGTGTGCATTTTGTGTCTTTTCTTGTACTTTCTGCTGGTATGCTCTTCAAGTTATGCTGTCCCAAATCACTATCTCCACATATGAGTTTCCCAAATTTGTTGTCTGAAATGGCAACTACTTGTAATCTTCTTAATCCCCTACTTGTTTTACCATGTTGAATATCCTCTGGCATTTGGCTCACGGTGGAAGCCCATATGCTGTGGGGAAACAGTCAAAGGACTAGTGTTAGATATTTGATTCTGTTTCCAACTTGTGGGGTCTTTTAAATAAATATTTTAATATGTCAGAAAATAATAAATAAATCTGTTTACACCATACCAAATTCAGTCCACACACTTATTAAACACTGTGCAGAAGTTTTCTACAAACATCACACGTGTTTTGTTTCAACTTATGAAGAATAAAATGTTTTTCCAGCTATAAAGAGCTTCTTTTGAAATGAGGTGGAAAAACTATTTCCATTCATTTTTATCTGAATCATTATTGTGATAGTAAAGTTTTGGGGGAAGGGATTGGTATGTCATGATAGAAGTGACATATAAGCTTGCACGATCTCAATAGCTGTGCCATGTCCCCATCTAAAGCATGCAAGTATATTATACTATGTGATATCATCATCATCATCATATATAATAATATACAGCATGTTTAAAGTTCCATAGAGTAGGTAAAGGAGGGCCAAAATGATGGAGAAAGGATTTCGTAGAAAAAATGCCAAAGTAATAAGCTCTGTTATCATAACACAACATTACCAAAGGATGAATGACTTGTTACAGTTCTCTTTGCTTTGAATGTAAAACATAAGAAATCATCTCAGTTCTACTTCATTATACTACTCATTAACTCTGTTTATCCCAGTTGAAAATTGGGGTGTATTCATGTAGCTGTATATGTATACTTGTGTTATGTACAACCTACTCTTTATGATTTTTCTTAAAAATTTACTCATTATTTCATGTCCTTAATTCTAAGATAAACATTTATTTCATATTTCAATGCTTTTATAATAGGTGTTCATTCAAAATTGATATAATCATTTAATGTAATGTTTATTTTCTTGAAAAATAAGTAATTAAATTTGTGGTACACTTGAAAATAATAGAAATGAATTTATATTTATACAAAAGTATGTTAAAGGAGAAGTTATGGTGTAACTTATGTGATCAGAACCATGATTTGGACTATAGAAATAAATCAAAGGGTTTTTTTTATGTATGGTTTTTTCACATAGGCATCACTTAAAACAGTTGCTGTGTATTAAAATAATTTGCTTATTAGAAGGGATATATGTTTTTTTATCAACTATATGTATGAGTCTCACTAGAAGAGATATCAAAACCATTTCCATAAACTATGTACAAGGATTTAGAGATTGGGAAATATGCAATTAAATGCTCTCATAATTCTCTATATCAAAACCTTATTTAAGCTAGACTTTGAAACATGGATATAATTTGGAAACGTAGGAGATTTCATGAGGAGGGTAATATAAAGCTTCAGAAATGCAATGATGAGTCTACAGAACATGAAAGGTATTGCTACAGTCAAGACATTTTTTTATGTCTCTATGTTATGAGCCATATAACATAACAAGCTACCCATCTTCCCTTGGTCTCCTTTTTCCATCTGTTTAACTATATTCACATCACTTCACATTGGTTGGAAGAATAAAAGTGACAAGATAGTTTTCTGCAGCAAAAAATGAAAATAATTTTAAATATTTAGGTTATTTGAAATGTTACATGACACTGAAACCTGGAAAAAGTCGATGTGGGATTTATCACAATGAGAGAGACAGTGCCAGATGCTATTTTCATAAATTCCAACATTATTAAAAAAAATAATTAACCCAATATCTAACATCAGCACATTAGATAAAAGTTAATTAGATAAAGAGAAAAACATATGAGTACAAAAAATAGGATTTTCATCAAAAGAAACAAAGATGTAAGAGAATAATCTACTTACATATATGAGTAACTCTATAAAATCCATCATAAGACATATATGTCAAATAACTGAAGCTTGTGAGTAAATTGAGTATTTTCCTAAACTGCAAAATTTAGTCAAGATTAATTTATATTAAAATCAAATTTTCAGGGTGGCTGTGGCTCAGTTGGTTAAGTGTCCCGACTCTGGATCTCAGCTCAGGTCTGGATCCCATGGTCATGAGTTCAAGCCCCACGTTGGGCTCCATGCTGAGTGTGGCGCCTACTTAAAAATAAATAAATAAATAAATAAATAATCAAATTCCCATCAGATATTGAAAAGCAAATCCTATAAAGTAAAATGAATAAAATATAGATGCAAAATCTAGGATATTAAAAAATGATATAAATGAAATGTCATAGTTTTGGAGGAATAGAAATCTCATGCAAATCTCATTGTATATGTAGCTTATCACAGGAGTCCAAGTCACTGAAGAAGTAAGAGAAAAAATTTTCATAATTTCTATATAATTAAGATAGAAAGTGAAGGAATATAAGAGAAAATTAATTTCTATTATAACTGACAATCAGAGGGGCGCCTGAGCTGTTCAGTCAAATATCTGCCTTTGGCTCAGGTCATGATCCTGGGGTCCTGGAATTGAGCCCAGAGTCAGGCTCCCTGCTCAGCGGGGAGTCTGCTCCTCCTTCCCCCCTGTTCCTGCTCCTACTCTCTCTCTCTGAAATGAATTTAAAAAAAAAATTGACAACCTGAGATTATTACTAACAAGACTCTATGATATATTATTGATCTTTAGTAGAAATAATTCCAAACAGCTATTTAATTGAGTAATAAACAACTTCAAATTTAATCACCTTTCCATTACTCCTTTTAATATCTTTTTTTTTTCTTTTTGAAACAAAGTTTTATTCAGGACACAATTGATGCAATATGAAATGGGGCAACATTTTCAACATCTGTTTTCAAAATGTTCTCTCCATAGAAAGAGTTATATTATTAAAATCAAATAAAAGCAAGTAGCTTAATTTTAATTTCTTTTTTCTTTTCTTTTCTTTTCTTTCCTTTCCTTTTTTTTTTTTTTTTTTGCTTAACTTTAATTTTCCTGTAAAATAATCAGCTAATCTCCATAGGACTTTAACAAGAGCTAATTTAATATCTTTTCTCCTCAGACAGTAGATAACAGGGTTCAAGGTTGGGGGTACCACAGAATAGAACATAGACACGAACAAGTCAGGAAGAGAAGGTTCATCAGAGTTTGGCTTTAAATAAGCAATAGCACCTGTTAGAAGGAATGTACTCACTACAAAGAGGTGAGGTAAGCAGGTGGAAAAGGCTTTGCCCTGCTTCTGTCTGGTTGGGATCTTTAACACGGTAGAGAAAACATGTACATAAGAGACCACAATGCAAACTAAACATGAAAATCCATAACAGACCCCAATGACCACACTGACATTAATAGTTGCATGTTCCACAGAACAAGTGAGCTTCAGTAGGGCGGGCACATCACAAAATAACTGATGTATCTTAGTGGACCCACAAAAATTTAAAGAGAATGTCCCAGCTGAGTACAAGACTCCAAAGACCCCTCCACTGAGCCAGGAGACTAACACCAGCTGGACACAGACCTCTTTGCTCATAACAGCCTCATAATGAAGAGGGCGACAGATGGCAATATAGTGGTCATAGGACATTGCAGTGAGAATGCTAATCTCGGACCCAGACATTAGTATCTCAAGGAAGACCTGTAACACACATCCCAGAAAAGAGATGGAGTCAGTGAAGGCGATGGAGTTGAGGATGGATTTGGGGACTGTGGCAGAAATGAGACACATATCTAAGAAGGGTAAGTGCCTTAGGAAAAAGTACATTGGAGTGTGGAGGTGTTGGTCAAGAATTGTGAGGAGGATGATAATTAAATTCTCCACTATGGCCAGTAGGTAGATCAGTAAGAGGAACACAGCATGTAGCCTCAATAGCAACTGGTTCTCAGTAAATCTCAGAAGCAAGAATTCCATTATTACTGTTTGATTCATCATATTTTAAAATTAAAAGCCACCTATTGAATAAAGAAAAAAGTTATATTAAAGTAACAAAATATTATCTGCTTCTTTATTTTTGAAACATGTATATTTTAGCATCATGGGATAGATGGAAAATTTAAAATACCTAGATATCTATATTTATACTTTACTCAGCTATAAAACAACTATAGACATAAGAGTACAATGTAACTGGACTTAAATTCACTGTGAAAGATGATGAGAATTCCCATTCCCTCCCTAACTCAATACTTGAAATGCTTTTTGAGTATATTTATTTCATCAAGATTTGTAGAATTGGCTACCTAATTCTAATGTAATAGAATACATATTTGTTATGTATAAATGTTACCCTACTTGATGTAAATGTTGATGTGGATTAGAAGTCATGGATGAATTTTCTGTTTGTAGCATATTGCAATGGGTTTAAATAATCACTAATATGTGGCACCTGGGTGTTTCAATTGGTTAAGCATCTGTCTTGGGTTCAGGTCATGAACTCAGAGTCCTGGGATCTAGCCCCACCTTGATCTCCCTGCTCACTGGAGAGCCTGCTTCTCCCTCTGCCCTTCACCCCACTCGTGCTCTCTCCCTCGCTCTCTTAAATAAATAAAATCTTAAAAAAAATAATTACCCAGTGTTGTATGCAACTAATGAAACATTGAACACTACAACAAAAACTAATGATATACTATATGTTGGCTAACTGAACTTAAAAAAAAAATCACTAATTTTAGCCGATATTCTAATATATTAAATACTTCTCATTGAATGACATTAAGTCTTATCCCCATGTTTTCATTAAACACATATTTTTTGGTGAAAATATCACCAATAGTATTTTCTTTTTGTGCAGATATTTACTAAAAAAACAAAACAGAGGGGAGCCTGGGTGGCTGAGTCAGTTAAGCATCTGCCTTTGGCTCAGGTCATCCTGGGATCAAGCACAACATCAGACTCCCTGCTCAGCGGGGAGCCTACTTCTTCCTCTCCCGCTCCCCTCTGCTTGTGCTCTCTCTCTGTAAAACAAAATAAAATTTAAAAAAAAACCTTAAAAAAACCTAGAAAGGCACTCTGGTAATTTTATCCAATTGGTTTACAAATGCATAGTACCATTTACCAAATAAAAGAGCAAAATTTATACTCAACTAATGAATCATTGAACATTATATCAAAAACTAATGATGTACTATACCTTGGCTAATTGAATTTAAATTTTAAAAAAGGGAAAAAAAGAACTATAAGGCAGATTTTTTGCATGCAACACTAGCAAGTATTTAATTAATACCAAAAACCAACAAATATTAGAGATGTCAACTGTATCTAATGAGAAAAACAGTGTCCTCCCATTTTAAACTTACACAGGATTTATAATCCACGGTCACTCACAAACCCCATGGGAGAGATCTGTGATCATATTTTTGTCCCTCAGATCATTCTTGTCTTTAGAGATTCTCTTTGAATTTACTTTAGCATCACTTCAGTGACAATTTCTTTAGATCTCCATGCAGCCTCTTTCAACCCCTCACAATATGTGTGGCTTTCTCAGTGAACACCCTAATGTAAGAAAAAATAATAATAATTTTCCTTAAACCTCTTTAAGTGAATCTCAGCCTTTGATACACAAGGTTTTTTTTTTTAATTTTTTATTGTTATGTTAATCACCATACATTACATCATTAGTTTTTGATGTAGTGTTCCATGATTCATTGTCTGCATATAACACCCAGTGCTCCATGCAGAACATGCCCTTTTTAATACCCATCACCAGGCTAACCCATCCTCCCACCCACCCCCCTCCCCTCTAGAACCCTCAGTTTCTTTCTCAGAGTCCATCGTCTCTCATTGTTCATCTCCCCCTCCGATTTCCCCCCTTCATTCTTCCCCTCTTGCTATCTTCTTCTTCTTCTTCTTCTTCTTCTTCTTCTTCTTCTTCTTCTTCTTCTTCTTCTTCTTCTTCTTCCATTTTAACATATATTGTATTATTTGTTTCAGAGGTACAGATCTGTGATTCAACAGTCTTGCAAATTCCCAGCGCTCACCATAGGACATACACTCCCCAATGTCTATCACCTAGCCACCCTATTCCTCCCACCACCCACCACTCTAGCAACTCTAAGTTTGTTTCCTGAGATTAGGAATTCCTCATATCAGTGAGATCATATGATACATGTCTTTCTCTGATTGACTTACTTTGCTCAGCATAACACCCTCCAGTTCCATCCACATCACTGCAAATGGCAAGATCTCATTCTTTTCGATGGCTGCATAATATTCCATTGT